GAAGACCTCCCGACATGCTCGCCAATACACTACAGCGAGAAAATAAAATCGAAAGTGCCTGGCACGAACGTGGATCATTATCTCTCGCAATCATATCACAATGAGCCTCAGCCCGCCAGCAGGAGGAGGACCATACAGCCACTGGGCACGTGGAAGAGGGCAGCGCAACACGGTCACCCTCCCATTTCTGAATGCCAGCATGCCGTCTACCGGCAAGTTGGCACCCTCTGCGTTCAGGCCCACCGGAGGGGGGGCAAAGGTCCTTGAAACGCTCAGCCTAGGATGGAACCTCAAATACTTGTCGGCCGGTGCTCACGGCCTCGCGTATCGCGCCACCAATGTTTCAGAGGCGTCCCACAGACAATTCTTTGGGTCCCTGTCGTCTTACGTGGTGGGGAGCCCACAGAGCGCTCCCCAAAAGGTGATCATCAAGGTCCACCGCTTGGACAAGTTCGACGACATTGCTGCTGCTCGGATGGAGTGCAAGATGCAGGCATGGCTCCACAGCCAGGAGACGACCTTCCGAGGCACACAGGTCCGGGGCAGCGAGGTCGTGCCGCCCGTCTTCTATGCAGGCCTCCTGGACGGCGGGAGAAGGATGGGGATGGTGTTCATCACGGTCATGGGCGAAGCCCCAGGCGTGGTGCTCCGAGAGTTTCTGAGAAGGCGTTCAAATGAGTTGACAGGATTCGAGTATGCGCTCATTGAAAGGGCCATCCTCACGCTCTGGCTCCTGGGGGTCGTCCATGCGGACCTGCACGAAGAAAACATCTTCATCGACGAGAAGTCAGAGAAGGTGACAATCATCGATTTCGGGTATGCCCTGATACTGCCCAAAGCAAAGGCAACGCAAGTGAGGGCCGCCCTTAACCACGGGGCAAACACGAACACGCTCTGGAACGACAAGAAGACGGGCCTGCGCAAGTACGTGAATGCCATCCAGGGCGGCCGCGGGTATGATTGGTACAACCCAGAAGCAAAGGTGGCACGCTACTTTCGAACACTTGTTGACGACGAGGACAAAACAACTTTGAGTGCCAACAGGGCAAAGGCATGGGGTCAGCAGGCCTCTTACCATAGCGCACACTCGAGTGGG